CCGATTTTTTCCCCCAAAAAAAAAATAATTACTCCGAATTGCTTTACATAGGAAAAAATGTCAGTATACGAAAAAATTACTCCGAATGCGTTTTCTATGCGACAAAAATTACTACGATTTTTTTCGACTCCGAATTTTTTTCTACACGAAAAAGTTTTTCTGAATGGGTTTTCTGTCCCAAAAAAATGCTCCGAATAGTTTTTCTAGAAGAAAAAAAACTACTCCAAATTGGTTTCTATGCGAAAAAATATATTTCAATTTTTTTTTAGCGAAAACAACTAATTACTCCGAATTGCTTTACATGGGAAAAAATGTCAGTATACGAAAAAATTACTCCGAATGCGTTTTCTATGTGACAAAAATTACTGCGAATTTTTTCGACTCCAAATAATTTTTGTAGAAGAAAAAAATTGCTCCGAATTGGTTTCTGTGCGAAAAAATATATTCCAATTTTTTTAGCGAAAACAACATACTCTGATTTTTTTTTTCTATGCGAAAAATATTACTCCGAATTTTTTCTTCCTTTCCAAAAAAATTACTCCGAATTTGTGAACATTTTTCTTTGCGGACAAATTACTCCGACTTTGTTTCTATATGAAGAAATTTAATCCGAAGAAATTATGTATCAAAAAATCCTTTTTTCCTATTTTTCTATTCCCTTTTTTCGTTTTAGAAATCTTTATCCGAAAAATTATATAAAAGAAAATTTCTTATTTTTCCATTTTTTTTCCTTCCCAACGTAATTCAATAGAGGCAGAAAATATCATGTCCCCTCTATTTCATTTTGATTGAATTAAATTTATTTTGTTTTGTTTTAAATAAATCGAATTTACTATTTTTCAATTTCCCCAAAATTCCTTCGAACGTGTCCTGGTCACATTTGTTAAATAACCTCGGTATTGATTATTCGCACTGTGGTCTAGTGTGTGGATCTGTGTGTGTTTGTGTTTACAATAAAATTAATTTTGTTTCTGTTGTTGCTGTAATGCAATTTTATTTTCTTTGGCAACAATGCCCGAGTCAATATTTACATTTTGGCATTTATTTTAATAACTTTTGATTGTTGGGATTCAGTGGTGGGGCAGAAGCAAAAAAAAAAATAATTGCAGAGTAAATTTTTTATAGGGGTTATTGGTTACAATAAGGAGTTACAGTGGAACATGGATATATTGAACTTGTAATCCATTCAATATATAAATAGGAATTGTTTCCAAATTATCCATATTCCGAAACATTTAAATTTTAAAAAGGAACACTGATCGCAGCCAGTAGCTGCCGAAACCCACTTTCTCAAATCGTTTTCCATTAAAACAATCATTTATTATATTTTAAATTGAATTTCATTCATTTAATGCCATTAATATTTTGCGAAATCCAATTTGCGCCTAAAAGTATGCTTTAAAAATAGTTTTTATCATTTCTCTTAACTTGCCATCCGCGTCCATTATTAAAGTCAACAGCAATTGAAAATTAAATAACAATAATCTGTTGTTTTTTGACGCCAACGAAAATAGCGACAACAAAAACGACAACAAGAACATTTGCCACCAGTGCTCTCAATATAAATTTCACCCTTAACTGTCAACTGCAGACCAAACACGGCTTAAGTGTTATAAATTTAACAATTACCCCCAATAACCGACATGTCATTCATAGTTTTGGCGAAAATGAAAACAATGGAAAAAAACCAACCGAAAAAATAAACGAACAGAATTTTTAATTTAGCGGCTTTCGGAGAACGACACGCTGAGGAGTGTCAAGAGGGGAAGAAAACTGAAAACTCATAGTCGACACAAGAAAAAATTTAAATATTTTCATGAGAAATTTATTGGAATATTCTTTAAAAAATCGGAATCATTTATTTTGTTTAGAAAAAAATCGGAGTACTTTTTTAGTACAGGAAAAAAATTCGGAGTAATTTTTTTTCCGATAGAAAAAAATTCGGAGTATTTTTTTTTTCGATAGAAAAAAATTGGGAGTAATTTTTTTTTCGTATAGAAAAAAATTCGGAGTAATTTTTTTTTCCGATAGAAAAAAATTCGGAGTAATTTTTTTTCCGATAGATAAAAATTCGGAATAATTTTTTTTCCGATAGAAAAAAATTCGGAGTAACTTTTTTCCGATAGAAAAAAATTCGGTGTCACTTTTTTCGCTTAGAAAAAAAATTAGGAGTAATTTTTTCGTTTAGAAAAAAAATTAGGAGTATTTTTTTCGTTTAGAAAAAAATTAGGATTAATTTTTTTCGTATGGAAAAATATTCGGAATAATTTTTTTTCGTATGGAAAAAAATTCGGAATAATTTTTTTCGTATAGCAAAAAAAATCGGAGTAATTTTTTTTCCGATAGAAAAAAAATCGGAGTAATTTTTTTTCGTATAGAAAAAAATCGGAGTAATTTTTTTTTTCGTATAGAAAAAAATTCGGAGTAGTTTTTTTTTCCGATAGAAAAAAATTCGGAGTAATTTTCTTCGTATAAAAAATATTCTTTAAAAAATCCACGTGGTTTTTTGGTCCTTGAAAAAATATTCTTTAAAAAATTCACGTTTCTTGCTCTTTTGGCCCTTGAAAAAATATTCTTTAAAAAATCCACGTGGTTTTTTTGTTCCTTGAAAAAATACTCTTTAAAAAATCCACTTGGTTTTTTGGTCCTCGAAAAAATATTCTTTAAAAAATCCACGTTCCTTGGTCGGATGGTCCTTGAAAAAAATTTATTTAAAAAATCCACGTTCCTTGGTCGGATGGTCCTTGAAAAAAATTTATTTAAAAAATCCACTTGGTTTTTTGGTCCTCGAAAAAATATTCTTTAAAAAATCCACGTTCCTTGGTCGGATGGTCCTTGAAAAAAATTTATTTAAAAAATCCACGTTCCTTGGTCGGATGGTCCTTGAAAAAAATTTATTTAAAAAATCCACGTTCCTTGGTCGGATGGTCCTTGAAAAAAATTTATTTAAAAAATCCACGTTCCTTGGTCGGATGGTCCTTGAAAAAAATTTATTTAAAAAATCCACGTTCCTTGGTCGGATGGTCCTTGAAAAAAATTTATTTAAAAAATCCACGTTCCTTGGTCGGATGGTCCTTGAAAAAAATTTATTTAAAAAATCCACGTTCCTTGGTCGGATGGTCCTTGAAAAGATATTCTTTAAAAAATCCACGTTTCTTGTTCGGATGGTCCTTGAAAAGATATTCTTTAAAAAATCCACGTTTCTTGTTCGGATGGTCCTTGAAAAAATATTCTTTAAAAAATCCACGTTTCTTGTTCGGATGGTCCTTGAAAAAATATTCTTTAAAAAATCCACGTTTCTTGGAGAGATGGTCCTTGAAAAAATATTCTTTAAAAAATTCACGTTTCTTGTTCGGATGGTCCTTGAAAAAATACTCTTTAAAAAATCCAGGTTTCTTGGTCTTTTGGTCCTTGAAAAAATATTCTTTAAAAAATCCACGTTTCTTGGATATTTGAAAAAATATTCTTTAAAAAATCCATGTTTCTTCAACTGATGGTCCTTGAAAAAATATTCTTTAAAAAATCCACGTTTCTTCAACTGATGGTCCTTGAAAAAATATTCTTTAAAAAATCCACGTTTCTTTAACTGATGGTCCTTGAAAAAATATTCTTTAAAAAATCCACGTTTCTTTAACTGTTGGTCCTTGAAAAAATATTCTTTAAAAAATCCACGTTTCTTGTTCGGATGGTCCTTGAAAAAATATTCTTTAAAAAATCCACGTTTCTTGTTCGGATGGTCCTTGAAAAAATATTCTTTAAAAAATCCACGTTTCTTTGTCTTTTGGTCCTTGAAAAAATATTCTTTAAAATATCCACGTTTCTTGTTCGGATGGTCCTTGAAAAAATATTCTTTAAAATATCCACGTTTCTTGTTCGGATGGTCCTTGAAAAAATATTCTTTAAAATATCCACGTTTCTTTGTCTTTTGGTCCTTGAAAAATTATTCTTTAAAAAATCCACGTTTCTTGGTCTTTTGGTCCTTGAAAAAATTCTTTAAAAAATCCACGTTTCTTGGATCCTTAAAAAAATATTCTTTAAAAAATCAACGTTTCTTGGATCCTTAAAAAAATATTCTTTAAAAAATCCACGTTTCTTAGCCCTTGAAAAAATATTCTTTAAAAAATCCAGGTTTGGTGGTCTGAAGGTCCTTGAAAAAATATTCTTTAAAAAATCTACGTTTTGTAGTAATTTGGTCCTTCAAAAAATATTCTTTAAAAAATCCACATTTTTCGGTCTTACTTTAAAAAATTCTGAGTATTCTTTAAAAAATCCACATTTTTCGGTCTTACTTTAAAAAATTCTGAGTATTCTTTAAAAAATCCACATTTTTCGGTCTTACTTTAAAAAATTCTGAGTATTCTTTAAAAAATCCACGATTCTTGGTCTTTTGGTCCTTGAAAAAAATCCACGTTTCTAGGTCTTTTGGTCCTTGAAAAAATATTCTTTAAAAAATCCACGTATCTTTAACTAATGGTCCTTGAAAAAAATATTCTTTAAAAAACCCACGTTTCTTGGTCCTTGAAAAGATATTATTTAAAAAATCCACGTTTCTTGGTCCTTGAAAAAATATTATTTAAGAAATCCACGTTTCTTGGAGTGATTGTCCACCCGGACGTATGAGTAATAATTAAACGTTAGTACTTATACGACACACACCACTTTATACAATTTTTTTATATTTTTATCTAATAATTATTTATGACTCTTAAACGATTTTTTTTTTGTAAAACCCACATATAATTTATATATCACAACTATTTACATATTTTTTACTATATATTTAAATTATATTTTTTTCCAATGATAATGTCTAGTTGATGTTATTTATGATGATGGTGTTAAACTCATTTTAATTGGCAAACCATAATAATAAATTGATGTTTAAAATTATGGCCACAGAAAAAAAAACTAAACCCAAATACAAATATGTTTTTGATATGTCTGTAAAATTAAATACAAATAAGATTTAAATAAAATTAATGAAATTGAATAATAATAACCTTGTGCAAATTATACATGCATTGGGCAATTCCACTATCGGGTATATTATTATTATCCAGCCAATCCTGTAAAAATAAATGTGGATGGATTAACAAATGAGCTGTGTGTGTCAAAATATTTGATGGCAAAAATAATTATAAAAAATTGTATAAAAAATATAAGAAAAAATATAATTTTTATTAAAATAACACCGATATAAATTTATTAGAAAATTGTGTAAAAAATATTAAAAAAAATATTTTAACATTTTATAAATCACACCAAAAATTATTTTTTTTACAAAATGTGACTTAGTCCTTTTTCTCCGTAAATCAAAAAAAAAAAACAATAAAAAACTAATTAAAACAAATCGCAAAACTTGAAGTGTAAACACAACATTCCTTTAAACACAAAAAAATGAGGGAATACCGAGAGAGAGAGAGCGAAAAAACTCCGACCGGAAATAAAATACTAGAGGAAATAATAATAGGATAAAATAACAACAACAATAACAACGACAATGGTGTCAACATGAAGTGCAAAAAATGTGAGTTGAGGAAAAAAATTGAGTTCAAAAGCGAAAAAAAAAATGCAAATGCTTTGACAAAGTGCAGAAAAATGCAGAACAGGAAAGAAAAACACGAAGAACAAAAAAAAAACGTTGAAGAAGTGTTTTCATTATGCAGCATGAAGAGGGGGGTGATGGGGTGGGATATTATGAAATTTACAGAATTTAATGCACAAACGATTAGAATTTGTCAACATTAAGATTTCTGGGGAATTTAAGATATTAAAATAGGGGAGATATAAGTTAGAGAAAAGATCCCGTTTATAGCCTGACATATCCTTGAAAAAATATTCTTAAAAAAATCCAAGTTTCTTGGAACCTTGAAAAAATATTCTTTAAAAAATCCACGTTTCTTGGATCCTTGAAAAAATATTCGTTTAAAAAATCCACGTTTCTTGGATCCTTGAAAAAATATTCTTTACAAAAATCCACCTTTCTTGGATGCTTGAAAAAATATTCTTTAAAAAATCCACGTTTATTGGATGCTTGAAAAAATATTCTTTAAAAAATCCACGTTTATTGGATGCTTGAAAAAATATTCTTTAAAAAATCCACGTTTCTTGGATCCTTGAAAAAATATTCTTTAAAAAATCCACGTTTCTAAAGGTCCTTGAAAAAATATTCTTTAAAAAATCCACGTTTCTAAAGGTCCTTGAAAAAATATTCTTTAAAAAATCCACGTTTCTAAAGGTCCTTGAAAAAATATTCTTTAAAAAATCCACGTTTCTTGGAACCTTAAAAAAATATTCTTTAAAAAATCCACGTTTCTTCGAACCTTGAAAAAATATTCTTTAAAAAATCCACGTTTCTTGGAACCTTGAAAAAATATTCTTAAAAAAATCCACGTTTCTTGGAACCTTGAAAAAATATTCTTTAAAAATCCACGTTTCTTGGAACCTTGAAAAAATATTCTTTAAAAATCCACGTTTCTTGGATCCTTGAAAAAATATTTTTTAAAAAAACCACGTTTCTTGGAACCTTGAAAAAATATTCTTTAAAAATCCACGTTTCTTGGATCCTTGAAAAAATATTCTTTAAAAAATCCACGTTTATTGGATGCTTGAAAAAATATTCTTTAAAAAATCCACGTTTCTTGGATCCTTGAAAAAATATTCTTTAAAAAATCCACGTTTCTAAAGGTCCTTGAAAAAATATTCTTTAAAAAATCCACGTTTCTAAAGGTCCTTGAAAAAATATTCTTTAAAAAATCCACGTTTCTAAAGGTCCTTGAAAAAATATTCTTTAAAAAATCCACGTTTCTTGGAACCTTAAAAAAATATTCTTTAAAAAATCCACGTTTCTTCGAACCTTGAAAAAATATTCTTTAAAAAATCCACGTTTCTTGGAACCTTGAAAAAATATTCTTAAAAAAATCCACGTTTCTTGGAACCTTGAAAAAATATTCTTTAAAAATCCACGTTTCTTGGAACCTTGAAAAAATATTCTTTAAAAATCCACGTTTCTTGGATCCTTGAAAAAATATTTTTTAAAAAAACCACGTTTCTTGGAACCTTGAAAAAATATTCTTTAAAAATCCACGTTTCTTGGATCCTTGAAAAAATATTCTTTAAAAAATCCACGTTTCTTGGAACCTTGAAAAAATATTCTTTAAAAAGTCCACGTTTCTTGGAACCTTAAAAAAATATTCTTTAAAAAATCCACGTTTCTTCGAACCTTGAAAAAGTATTCTTTAAAAAAATCCACGTTTCTTGGAACCTTGAAAAAATATTATTTAAAAAATCCACGTTTCTTGGATTCTTGAAAAAATATTCTTAAAAAAATCCACGTTTCTTGGAACCTTGAAAAAATATTCTTTAAAAAGTCCACGTTTCTTGGAACCTTAAAAAAATATTCTTTAAAAAATCCACGTTTCTTCGAACCTTGAAAAAATATTCTTTAAAAAATCCACGTTTCTTGGAACCTTAAAAAAATATTCTTTAAAAAATCCACGTTTCTTGGAACCTTGAAAAAATATTCTTTAAAAAATCCACGTTTCTTCGAACCTTGAAAAAATATTCTTTAAAAAATCCACGTTTCTTGGAACCTTGAAAAAATATTCTTTAAAAAATCCACGTTTCTTGGATCCTTGAAAAAAATATTCTTTAAAAAATCCACGTTTCTTGGATCCTTGAAAAAATATTCTTTAAAAAATCCACGTTTCTTGGGTTTTTGGTCCTTGAAAAAATATTCTTAAAAAAATCCACGCTTGGTGGTCTGTTGGTCCTTGAAAAAATATTCTTTAAAAAATCCACGTTTCTTGGTCTTTTGGTCCTTGAAAAAATATTCTTTAAAAAATCCAAGTTTTCAGAAAACATAACAAAAACTTTTTGACATCGTTGCTGGCATTTCACTTCAAGTCTTCACATTTCACTTCACCTCAACACATCCAAACCAATGACCCACAATTTAAAAATATTCACCCCCTCGAAATAGAGCCCGCCCTTGTATGCACACACAGTGTTGAAGGTGTTCCGTGAAGTGTTTCTTTGTTTAACGAAAAACCAACAACAACAAAAACAAACGAGAATATTTACTTAACACCAAAAAAACTATAAGGACTTGTTTTTTATTAAAGGAGTGTGGTAAAAAAAACAACAAAACAATGCCCACCAATTCAGTTCATAAAACAGAGGCACACAAAAAAACAATGTGGCGCACGGTTTTCAATTGAATTTGTGCGGAATGGGTTGCATTTAAGAGCAGAGAGTAGCTGAAACAATGGAAAGTTGAGAGAAATGTATTGTTGATCAATATTTTTTTAAGGGCTGGTCGGTCAAGGACCAAAAGACCAAGAAACCGGGATTTTAAGAACCAGATCAGACCTATAAACCTGGTTGTTTAAAAAAACGTGGATTTTTTAAAGAATATTTTGTAAGGACTATCAGGATTTCGGACTTTTAAGAACTTTCAGACTAAGAAACGTGGATTTTTTAAAGAATATTTTTTAAGGACTATCAGGATTGCGAACTTTCAGACTAAGAAACGTGGATTTTTTAAAGAATATTTTAAGTACTATCAGGATTAAGGTCTTTTAAGAACCCTCGGCCAAAATTTTGGATTTTTTAAAGAATATTTTTTATGGACCTTCAGACCAGCAAATATGGGTTATAACAGGTATCCATTATTTTTAATAAATTTTGAAACAGTTTCAAACTATTAATCATTGATTGTCTATTAATATCTAAAAACCTACCAATAAATAGTCCTTGTATTCAAAATTTATATCCTTGACTTTTTTTAATTTTTGAAGGACTGGTAATTTTTTTTAAATAATTGTTCGGAGGACCTTAATTTTTTTATAATGGATTTTTAGAACAGAGTTTGGCTTGCTTGTTTGGGATACCATAGTATTTTGTTGTTGCAAAATCGTCAGGCGAAATCCCATTATTGTTGTTTTTATAAAAACAACGTTTGTTTATGAGTGGAGAACGATGGTAATGTTTACCAGGGGGTAAGGCAGGGAATACCTAGGTTTCGGAAAGAGCCACCAATCCTCATCAGTTCCCTTGTTTCTTGTCTGGGATATTCTCCCCAGAAGTTATTTAAAAAAAAATAACTTCTATGACAAAAAACATTTTTTACCCAAGTGACGAGATCGTAAGCTCAATAGAAGAGGAACAAAAGAATTACAGAAAACTAAAATTCTTTTGGAAAATCTTCTAAATCTTACAACCGCACTTATAAACATTTACATCTTTCTCCACTTTGTTATGCTTTCGTTCAACCTGAACGAAGTAACATAACCATGTAAGTTTGTTTTGTCTGTTACAACAAAAACCCCTTCGTCGACCGTGCCTGTGTCTATTAATAGAACAGAGTTTGGCTTGCTTGTTTGGGATACCATAGTATTTTGTTGTTGCAAAATCGTCAGGCGAAATCCCATTATTGTTGTTTTTATAAAAACAACGTTTGTTTATGAGTGGAGAACGATGGTAATGTTTACCAGGGGGTAAGGCAGGGAATACCTAGGTTTCGGAAAGAGCCACCAATCCTCATCAGTTCCCTTGTTTCTTGTCTGGGATATTCTCCCCAGAAGTTATTTAAAAAAAAATAACTTCTATGACAAAAAACATTTTTTACCCAAGTGACGAGATCGTAAGCTCAATAGAAGAGGAACAAAAGAATTACAGAAAACTAAAATTCTTTTGGAAAATCTTCTAAATCTTACAACCGCACTTATAAACATTTACATCTTTCTCCACTTTGTTATGCTTTCGTTCAACCTGAACGAAGTAACATAACCATGTAAGTTTGTTTTGTCTGTTACAACAAAAACCCCTTCGTCGACCGTGCCTGTGTCTATTAATAGAACAGAGTTTGGCTTGCTTGTTTGGGATACCATAGTATTTTGTTGTTGCAAAATCGTCAGGCGAAATCCCATTATTGTTGTTTTTATAAAAACAACGTTTGTTTATGAGTGGAGAACGATGGTAATGTTTACCAGGGGGTAAGGCAGGGAATACCTAGGTTTCGGAAAGAGCCACCAATCCTCATCAGTTCCCTTGTTTCTTGTCTGGG